CATCGAGTCAAAAAAATATAAACTCAACTCGATTTAAACTCGACTCAGCTTATCTGACTCGTGAGTTAACTCGACTCGTCCGGAACTCTACCCTCAACTTCCTGTGTAGATTTTCTATGAAGACCTTTCTTTTCTTTAATTTCAGAGATTCGAGTGGTATCAGAAGATAACTCCCGGATAAGCCTTTTTAATACGATAGAGTCATCTCCCTTAACCCGTTTATTGGATTTTTCGCCAGAGGGTTTATCCGCAGATGTATTAGCCCACTTTTTATTCTTACTGTTAGAGGAGCTTTGAATCTTGGGCTGAGTTTCTACTTCCTCATCCCCATCCTCATCCTCAACCATATTCACATCCTCATCCACATTCACATCATCATCATTCACATCCGCGTCTATTTCTTCAGTTGATGGACAGATAGGACATAGTTTGCGTGGACTGTCGATGCAATGATAATGCACAATATGCTTGCAGGTTAAGTATACTAGAGGTTTCGGGGGAGCTTGAGGGGGGATTCGAAGAAAGCCTATGGGTAGAAGACACGAAGAAAGGTCTTCAGAACATTTAGCGCATCTTAAATAACTTCTGACTTGTTGAAAACCTGTATTCTCGATTCTCTCCATCCGTATGATTGGTGAAGATAGGATAAACCTTTCGCTCATCATGTTGGATAAAGCTGAAATTGGCGACTCTTGATCAGTAGTAGGAAATTCTTCTATGATATCTACATTCTTTCCACAATCAGGGAATGGACATGTATTCGGCATGGTTAGTAGAAGCTTTTTCTCAATGCATATCCTATGAAAAATATATCCACAAGAGAGTATGGTAAATGCCTTCGGAGGATGCGTTAAAACCTCATTATTGCATTCCGAACATTGATCTAACTTTGGAATTTCTTTATCTCCTACGATACCGTCTTCGAGATTTTTCAAGATATTATAAGCAAGCTTCTTATGATTGTCAAGAGTTAGGTTGTCGGATTTTAGAGTTTTGCCTTTTTTTTCAATGCCCTGCTTTGTTTTGGAGTCAACATATTGGATACATTAGCTTTGTCAATTCTTTGTCATCTAGTAGGTGGCTGAACTCTAGTATGATTGAGGTCATTCCACTCATTATCTAGTGAGAATTGAAGAATGCACTTCACACGACCTTTTTTTGCTGAACCAATAAGGCGAAGATTGAAATTTTGACCTGGAAGTCCTCGATCAATATACTTGCTGAATTTTTCACTGGTTAAGGTATATACTAACTCTGTGAATGCTTTGAGTTTATGATGATTGATAAGGAGAGCCAGTGTATATAAAACGTGATAGCTACACTTGCTAGAATCTGAAGACATAGTAATTACTAACCTATTGAGAATATTTTCCCAGCTACAGTCGAAAATTCGATACAAGACTCTTATGAAAGATAGGCAGATTCGAATGAATACTTCTTGCGCCTTAACTCCATTTGCTTTTATATCCTCCTGTGTAGTATCTATATTAATTACAGCTCTTAAAGGGTTTTGACCGTTAATACATTCATGAACCTCGGGTAAACCATATACTTCAAAAATGTCGTCTGCAACGGAAAACTTTGGAGCTCGATCATCTTGATCGATTTTGATAACCAATTTATCTTCCACTTCATCCCAGTCATAAGCATTATATAAACTAGACCCTTTTTTATTCGAAAAGAGAAATGAATAGATTGGAAGATATTCTAATAACCCCTTTTCATCTGACATATCTCTAGGTGGTAATAGGAAAATTTCTTGAATAGCATTTAGCAAGTCCTTGGAAGAAAAATTATCATTAAACTTTTCCTGCCTTAAAGTATATGCCACATTAATC